AGAGTCAAGAACAGAAGGTTTATATTCGTTGACACGTTTCCAAAATTTCTTATTCCAACTTTGAAAATTGTTTGTAGACAAGTGAATGAGGACGATGGAATGTCTAAATATTTGTGCAAACTGTGTTTTAGTGAACTGTCAAAATTGGCGAAACTGATAGCATATCGACTTGCCTGATTCAGTCTTCATTGCAACACAGTTGAGGGACTGTGTTTGAAGATGTTCAGAGTGTATCAAATCTCAGTGTGGTGTGTTATAAGGGGTCGCCCATTTGAAATCATGGGGGGGTGATTGATTTGTTAAAAAAAAGACACTAAAGCTAGACACCAAGAGAAATCAAAATGCACTTTCAGAAAAAATATAATGTACAGACAAATTGCATTGGTCACGATCTTTCACCGGTCATTGAAAAAACATGGAATGACCCAAAACGAGCCAAACAACCCCAAAACGAGCCAAATAACTTTCAAAACGAGCCAAAAACAAGCCAAACGGACCAACAACTAGCCAAATGAGTCACACACGAACCAAAATTAGGCACAAATTCAGTAAAAAAGGGTGAAAGGATACTTTGAACTGGCAGCTAATTAGGCGATGTCCCTAAAGAAGTCAACACAAGTAAATAAATAAAAAATCAAAACAAACAACTTATTTTCAAGGTATGGTTACCCATTGCCCCCCCCCCCCCGCCCCGATCTTAAGAATCAAAACATATAAAACATCAGATACAAGTTTCCCGTCTTGCGACACGTCAGTCAGTCGCACACTCAATTGATGATGTTTATGTTAAATACCGGAATACATTATTACCTGAATTGATGGTGTTGATACTAAAGGCTACAATCGTTGTTTTATCGTTATTTCCTTTACTCTGATCAGCTGTTCGGCCTTGTCTCGCGGACTTTGTGGTTAGTTCGTCGTAGTTGTGCTACTTGACTGGAATGATCACTGTAACTTTTTACCTTCTTTTAGCAGACGCCAGGCGAACTCGTAAGCCAACTGCTTCAGATAGTCGCACGAACTGATAAATATCTATATTGTTTTAATTGAGTATGGAGACTGTAGGCATAACGTGGTAAATACTAGTAGTCTGTGTATCGTATTGTCATGAGTTGGCACGAGTTGGCATACTTGGTATTATATCATGTAGCATGGGCGGATGATTGCCGGGCTAATGTAACACATGACCAATCATCTCATAATAATCGACATTATTTAAACACCTTTTATCCCTTTGTGTGTTTCGGGTCATATCAATGTAAACCCGGGTATCTATTTGTTCATTGTGATTGTTATAAAAAAAAGTGTTAAAATAATTTCGCTGCATAGACGCATTTAACCAACCAGTAGAAAGCGTGACAAATGGCCGCCCACCATGTATGAGGCAGAAATAATCAACATAACGTTTCATGTGACGCCCTTTACTCGTTTGAGCATTTTTGTTTTATCAAGGATTTAAATAAAGTAATTGCCTTTCAACATTTCTATTGTTCAACTCCTTATTTTTTTCCTATAATGTAAGTGTCATTCATGGTGTTTCAGACAATCAAATGGGCGAGTGCGTATAATGTGTCCAAAAAAAACCGCTTGTATGCATAAGCATTTTGTTGTGATAATTTCCAGGGTGACATTTTAACATTGATCGGTTCTTATTTCCATACCACGTCATATCAACCATTCGTTACTGTGACCAATCTTTATTTAATTCAAGATCGGTCTCCTGAATATTTTTTTTATTATTAAACTAACCGTCATAGCCATGAATAGCAACCGTTTTGCGATCTTAATTAAAATTTTATCTCCCCAGCAAAATTCACTGGTCAAAAGTTACAACACGCGATACTGTCCTTTGTGAAAAAACGTGTTGTAATATCCCTCTATTTTAAGTTACAGGCTGGGCGACACTGAGCAACATAGTAAATATTACTTTAATTTTAATGTAATTTTACAGTTTTTTATTCTGACCAGTCATTCGAGCCGATTTCGCTCAAACTTGGCAGGTAGGTCGATCAGATATTCACCATAGTTATTAGAAAAAATCTGATAAAAAATTGTGGCCCACTTCGTATACATTTAGTTATAAACCGACATTAGCTTCACGTTCATGTCCTACCATGGAAACAGCCAAAAACATGTTGCTTGTTTTTTGAGCAAGATCGCCAACCAGCCTACCGGCTTGTTCATTTATTATTTACTTTTTTTCATTGTGTCGTTCTGGGACAACGCTCCCAACTGCCAGTTCAAAGTATCCTTTCAAAATGACTGATCGTTCACCTTTTTTGATTTTGTGGCTAATTTTGGTTCGTTTTGTTACTCGTTTGGGTAGTTTTTTGGTTCATTTGGCTCGTTTTGGAGTTATTTGGTTCATTTTGGAGCAGTTTGGCTAGTTTTGGTTCGTTTGGCTCGTTCCATGTTTTGTCAAATTTTTCACCCCACTCTAAATAATAATAAATAATAATTTTATTAGCCTTTGAAACGGCGTAAAAAGTAACATACTAAGTCAACAAAAACAAAAAAAGAAAAAAAAAAGAAAAAACAATCTATAAGAAGCATTAATTCATACATGTAAATCATTCAGTTTCTCGTTTCTGAATTTCCATAAGCGGGTGAGAAAGTTTCGGATTTCGTTTGATGTATTATTTCCCAAATCCTTATTGATTGCCCATAAAGCATCACTGAAGAGAAAATTAAATTTGAAATTAATTTCTCCGGAGAAAAATCTAAGTACAAAAGTTGGTTCTCCACCACTTTCCACTATTGTATTGGTCAGTGCTGAATAGAATTTACTTCTCAAGTGGTTAGTTGATTTGCAAAGAAATAAAAAGTGATAAACATCCTCCTTTCCATCATTACAAAGCTTACATACCCCGTCACCTTTATAATGTTCCCATCCTGTTTTATTCTTACTTTGAATGTTTAACCGGCTTCATTAGTGCATTAGCCTGACATGTGAGCGTGAGTGGTGTCGTCGCCCGCTGAACGGCATCAGATCTCACTATAAACGCCCAACAGATGTGTAGTGTAGGTCTCTCAATATCTTCTTGCAATGAGTTTCAATGAATATTCATTTTGGTGGTCATGGTAACACAAAGCCTTGTTTGCATTGTCGGCAAAAATCACAGATTGTTTTCAACAAGATGATAAACATTGGGCGGAACATTTTTGGGTTTGGAGCACCGCGGAGGGCGCAACTCACGCGACCT